ACAGTGTCATCATGATGTAAAACCGTATACCGATGACAATCCTTCAAACAGATGAATTGGTCGAAGAGGTCAACCTGCCCGTTTCCCAGACCTAACGCCAATGAGTTTTTTTTTCTCGTGTGAATACCCTCAAGATGAAACCTGCACTCAAAAGCCAACAACACTGTCATACTACAGCCGATCAAAAAGTTTTTCGAAGACTTTTAGTGATATTCCCAATAGCATAAAAAAGCTTACATAGTTTAGCTAATGCCATATGGGAAATTGCGTCAGTCAAGCTACGCAAGCATTTGAAACGTATTGTTAATATATACGGAACAACATTTGAGCAAAAAGATATTGTGGCATAAAAACAGCCAACTTCAAAAGTGTAATTTGTTGTGAACAACAGAGTACGCCAATCAATCTAAAATGGTAACTATGAACATTTATATGCCATACTTCACTCTGTAATTATAACGTGCTGCTATTCTTATGGTAGTATCGACATACAAGTAACTGTGTGCGCGTAAAAAGTCAGCCTTGCCAGACTTGGCAATGAAACATGTTTTGAATCCTATCTGAGAATGTGGTGGGAAAAGCTCGAAAGAAGCATTCTCGACGGTCTGTAGAACCATAGGCCATAGGTAACCTCAGCCAGGAACACGTATGCCGAAATAGCACGCGTGATCAAATTGATTTTTTCAGAACATGTTAAACTAATAATATATTTAGCCTAAAATCTCATATTGGTACGAACGCACTCATTCTCATAAACTCTAGCCAGTGAGATTAACCGCGCGATAAGAGTCTCTTCTGCATAAAATCATTAGCAGTATCCCCTCCGCCGCCCACAACTTCGATAGAACCGCATTTCTGCAACTTTGTTCCGTAATGTAACTCTACGCGAATGACTGGTTAGTGTGAGGGGGGTAAGATGATGTGTATTAGCTCCAAAAAATGCTGTTTATTACCATCCTCATGGTGCACTGCTAAGTGTCTCAACTGGCTTCAAACGGGACTGGACTTTGTTCTGCCAGAACTGAGTGAAACTGAATGTGGACTGACAAACAAAATGGTAAACTAAGGACATACACACTTAGTTTACTGTGGATTGAGTTGTCATTTTCAGATGAGATGTAGTTTTTTTTTTTATACTTCTCGAACCACCGCTATCATAGACAATGATTCAAAATGTATTCTATACATCTAGAAGAAAAAAAGAAACATCTTTTTTACTCGCAGCCTGCGGCAATTGCTTACAGATTTATTCTATACAGGGCAGAGATGTGTCAGCTTGAAAGGGCCTTGTCTTCTAACAGACCGTCAGGGTTGTGATTTAAGGAACAGAAATTCTTACGTCAAACTGGTACGGCAGGTGAATTGTCCAAAGGTTAGAAACTGAGGTTCTAATTTTTCCTTACTTGCTATGATCCGAGACCAAAGCAACTCCAAATATTTCAAGTACGTGTCGGTAGAGGAAAGAAAGCACTTTCAAAGGATAGGAGCTAGCACTGAGTTTTTCGAAAAGGGAAATTGAAATAAAACGTCAAAACTTAAATAGAAATATCGGTCAAATATTTCATATTCTATATTTTAGCTTTAAAATGACTACTAACACTGAAACAAAAGGTAAAAAAATTGTACTCGAAATTTAGGATATTCCCCACTGGCAGCTTGGTAATAATAAGACTTCATATTGTACCATGTAATACGTAAATAGAAAATGAGTAAATAATTTACAACAGTTTCCTTTGCCATTTTTAGAATGCTGACGAAAATATATAAAAACATCAATCAAATCGTTCATATTTCTTATAATAAGAAAAGGTACTACTATGCTCTTTAAAGATAAACTGAAGACGAACTTATCTCATTTTAAATCACAGAACAAGAGCTGAGTGTATGTCCTCCAAGTTCGGCGATTGCTTTCTTTCTCGTATGGACAATACTAGCGGGTAGCTCTATTCTAGCCAGTGTCTCCTATGTATACTTGCTTCTTTTATCCGCTGTTGTTTCCTCTATGCCCTATTTTGTCCTAACTCCCTCCCCCCTGTCATATTTTGTGAAACCGCGTTCACTCAAACCCATAAATTTCGTCGAGCTTAATAGATGAACACTTCGTCTACTGGTAAGCAGCTCGATTCTTACCTTGTTTAGCTCAATGTTTCTCAATTAAGGTTATAGAATTAGTAAAAGTGCATCAGGTCGCTTGCAGATATGGACGTTACAACTTATGTCATCTTTAACTTGCTTACTTCTCTTGTCCTCCAAGATCTTCTTTTATCTTACCTAAGAATTTTGAGTACATATGAAGGAACTTGCAGACGAAAGCTTTTGACTTATTCAGTACATAGGCGGGAACAATGAGGAACGTAAGAAGAGGTAGAACATTTCGTGAAACCTTTGAAGGGGTATAATCAGGATCTTGATATTTGGTTCTCTCCAATATGATATTTGGCACTCTACTTACATGCTGTGTATGAAGAATGTTATGCATGCAACCCTGGAATTTAAAAGGACTTACGCAACTTGTCATAGATATCCTGCAAAGTTTTTTATCAACCCTATGGCATTTCGTTATTTTTCGAACACTTTGAAAAAACGGGAATAGAAAAAAACATTAAAAAGTGCATCTAAAATAAGGAACATGCCCCACAAATGCACTGGCTTAAATTATCTTGTAAGACTGACTAACTGGAGATGCACAGATATTGCATTGAAACTTTTATCGCAGTCTTACACTATTCTGTAAAAGAACTATAAAGAGTCTGGCTTTTTATTCTACGAATTCCTATTGTCCCATGGGATTCATCTTCATGTGTCCCTGTTTGTTTCCAGCCATTGATGCATTTTGCTAACCAAATTGTAAGAAGAAACCCCAGCTATGCCCATATTGATTTTCGGCTTCCTTTATTGTCTGATCCTTTTTTCTTTTCAGGTGTTTCTTGAGCTTTTTAAGAACATACTACAGAGGGTATCGATTTCGTAAATACGAGAATTGAAGTGTTGCTTTGTGTGCGTTGAAGTTTTTCTAAAGCAGTTGCTGACAGGATATAGGTCATTCACCACATTACATGCTGTGAGCTTTGTTGGCCAGCGATATTGGGAAATAGTAAATAAACATGACCTGTGTGAAAAGTTTACCTCATTCGCAAACCTTCTAGAGATAATTTAGTAACCTAGAACGGGATTTCTCTCTAACGCTCTATCGTTCCTCACTAAAGCCTACCGGCCGTACACTCAGCGTTAATTCATAGAGTAGGTCTCAAAAAGCTTTATGTAATTTCGGCCCATGCGCGCTCTATAGTACTCTATTTTTGCTTTAAAATACTATAAAATAAATTACGAAAGGTCACTTGCCTCGAAGCCTTTGCAAAATACACAGTGCACATTCAAATACTCTGAGGCAGACGAGTACACGAATCATGAATTAGCTATTGGCTGATTTAACCTTATATTATCCCCCCAATCTTCGAGTTAAGCTTTCATAAAACCCTTCCTATAATGATAACGATAGGACCATCTTCTAGGCAGTGTACCGATCAAGAGAACATTTCCTGAAGCGTCTGGAGGTTTGCTCATTTGAATCGGAATGACTAGTTTTTTTCTTGTGTCAAAAAGAAAATGATCTCTTTGAAACCGAGATAGGTGAAATAGACTATAACAAATAGCGAAAATGTTGGCCTTTCGAGGTCTTTACCCCGAGAAAAACCTAACGAGAACCTAAGTTTTTGCCCTAGCTTTAACAGGGCTTAGGGTTCTGTCCGCTTTGCGAGTCGTCGTTGTGATAATTCCCTCTAATCATAGCCACGACTTCAACGTTACCGACCCGATTTGAATCGCATATCAAAGGTTCAAGACACGCTGGCGGACTGTAATTGTTTGACAATCAACCTGAGTTCTGTATCACCGTTTGAAGTCGGAAGTTCGGTTACTGATAAAGTTTAGAAGAAGAAGGTCGATGTACGAATAGGTGCGAAGGGAATGTGATAAATACCGTGCAGGTAGTTCCACCTAATTTCCTCTTGTTGAAAGCTAGGCAGAATGACTTTCTTAATTATGAAGCTTACAACCCAGGGGATATAAATGATTGATGATCATAGATCTTGCGATATATTACCCATATAGTATATATTATATAAACATGTTGTTGAATCACGTTATGTATTTTTGTAATATTTATATTCTATAACTGAGAGAAACCTTTATTAATCCATATGTGTTACAGACCGTTTTGGTGAAACAACCGATCTTGATAGAAGGCGTTCCTTCAAATGCGATCAATTCCGGCATTGTAATTTCGCTCCATTGTGCAACATTGTAAAGTGCACCACAGAAGCTTGCCCATAAAAGAAATTCAACAAAGGCCTAGATTTCACTTTAGTTACGTAAGATATGTAGACAAAAGAAATACATTTTTCCTTGGTAATCACTTCACTTGCATAAAATAATAGCTTAGCCACTCTTCGGGTATGAATATTGTTGAATAAGTATTGTTGTTAGTTTAAGTAAGCTTCTGGGTTTGTCAAATATTGAATTACATAAGACCAGCGACTACCAGTCGTGTTGTTCCTTACAGTGGTTCTATCACCCGTATCATATATATATATATATATATATATATATCTACAACGGCTGTAAGGTTTTCAATTGCATATGTGTCGGTTTTTCGTTACTTAAGTACGACACAGATACGACAAGTACAACCTGATACTAGGGGCCTACCATTTTAGTCTTTCTCGGACAAATTTTGCTAATTATAAAGGACCTAACATGGGTAGTGCAAATCGATAGCTGTTGTATTAAGTGAGTTGTTTGTTTTGTTATCACGACCTTATCTTAGACAGATACATTACTTGTCCCTTATTGTAGAGGGAATGAATTACCAAACATGATCTATGAAGAGGAAAACTATACAAAGTAAAGCAATTGTTTTCTTTTTCTTTTGAATTTAAAACTCTAGACTCTGCTGCCCTTGGCTAAATTTGAGACTTTTACCTATCTAATTCTGATTCTAGGTGAGTGATGCTATTTTAAAGTATGGCAAGATTATATGGAACATGCCATTCAAGGTTGGAAAGTGGATGGAAAGCTTGTTCTCGGATATGAATAGTGTCAAACATGAATTACAAGGGCCGGATTTCTCCGACGGAAGCTTAAAAAGGTGGATCATACTTTACACTTTAAAACAATCTGCTTCCTTTTCTAGCACAGTTTCGTTCATCTCAGAGCTAGATGTTGAAAAAGAATGTGCACATAAATTGCACGGAACTATACGACAAAACTATATTGGAAGTCATGAGGGATGAAGTGAGACAGCGCTTCATAACCAGTGTTTATTAAAGCTACATGCGGCAATGTATTTTGGGTATTTATAGAAGACCCCTGACGCCTAATTTGATAAGGAACTTGGAAAAACAAAAATTTTTCAAACTGTAACTCACTGGGTCTTATGCGTATAGCAAACTCATTGAGTTAAAATAGTTCAGCATATTGAGCGGCTTTATCAATAGGACCATAAGGTGGTGAAGTTTTATTTTAGATCTAAATGCTGACAATTGTAAGAACAAGCTTAAATAAAGTGAAACTATACACACTTAGACTCTCTGTTCTTTCACCCTTTGGATCCGTAGATGGCGTATAAATAAGTATAATTAGAAAGAAAATAGAAACGACGTTAGTTAATCAAATTTGATTTTTAGCTTTCAGACGCGAATATTGAATAATATCCGATTTACAGGCAAAAGCTAGGGGGTTGCTACGTAAAAGCAACATTTTGCTTTGCCATTTAGCATTGCCTATACATTCATTGTCCTAGCAAAAAAATTAAGAAGATCCTTACCTCTAGAAGCTTGGGGTACATAAGTTCGCCGGAATTCCGAAGATTTCACTAGATAATAATATTAATAAACAAGACAACAATTTACTATGGAACAATAATTAGACGGACCAAAAAAGCATTTGCTTCTTTCGGGCTAATGAGTAATAAGAGAACTTGGAGAGAATTTTATCGGTTCTCAAGTGCTATTAAACATCGAAGAAACTAACTCATTTTTTGGCTTTTCGTAATTCTTGTTCGCTGTTTATATAGTAAATGTATTCCTTGTCGAACGAAGGACGCATTCATGAAGGCGATTAACTTTTAATAGTTCCATTTTCGAACTTGTCTTCCATTATGAACTTCTTCATTTATCTAAACAAGTATAACTTGACGAAACAAATTTGAAGCAGGACGTAAGTGAAGTTTTCATTCATCAGAATTAGCCATGCGACAACGTCCTTGCTCTATTTTTGTTTTTTTACGGCTCTTTCTGTCAATTTCATGACTCAGATAGTTTCAAGTCAAATCGCGATTCACTGTTTTTCTGAGATTTTAACAAAAGAAGGTAGATTTTGCATTAAGCAAACCAGGCTACCGCTCGTCTTTGACTAAAAATCATATTTTCTATCGATTGAGCTTTTCGGTGTGAGAACTAAATTTTTATTTGCACCTTTTGCTCATTTAATAAATTCATTGACAGTCAATGTTTAGCTTCAATCGTTTCAACATCCACCTTCGGTAGAACCTTTACTATGATTTCACTTGATAACTTTTCCATGCTTAACAAAAGTGTGAATATGAAAACAGTGCATCTGTTTTAAGGATTTCAAGTTATTATAAGTATAGTAAGTAATATAGTACTAAAAACCACATAGCTAAAAGTATTTGCACGAGATTATTAAAACATTTCGAAAACGTTCGATATGAATACGCATGCAACCTCACAAGACTTACTGAACTCGTAAACACCGTACCAATAGGCTATAGGAAAGCCTCCATAAGATTCTTCTTAGATAGATCTTCTATCAGGACAAAAATGTCGCCAAAACGAACTCAATTGTTTTGAGAAAACTTAGGTATTTCATAATTGAACGTCTGCCATTGATCGCTTTCCTTGGGTATCAATGCTATAGTGTAACACTTCTGACGGTGCCCCAACCAAAAGAGGCATGCTTGAAGCGACTATATATGATCGCGGTCATACTTGCAAAAAATTTTGCCACGATCTGGCCGTAACTCTCTATTCCGTTGACCGGAAAATATTCTTTTGAAGGTGTCACAGTTTTTAAGTGTAGTCGCACATAATACAGACAGCAGTTCACGAACAGTGCCAGCAGCTTTTCAGAGCTGAAGTATCGAGGCAGGGCCACCGTCGATGCCCATTACTTGTTGGAACTTGCGTTTATGACAATTAAGAATCTGGATAGAGGGACAATGGCTTTCAAACCCGCGGAGTAATGTTTCAAGATTTACGTCCGTTAGGCACTCTCCGTGCACGTCGACTCGTATGTCCATTGTTGTATTCGAACTTAGGCCATTACGTGTTCCTAAAATTAGCAAGCGAATACGTTACGCACTAAAGTATAACAAACGGTATGGTAAGAAAAGATGTGAACTATGGGGATCCTATCTAAAAGTCGTTTCGGTGTCGAATTTGTTTTCAATGACAATTTTTCCTCAGTAAAAAAGATATTTTACGAAAGGGACCGATCCGGACGTACTGGCATTTCGGAGACCAGTTGGTGACGATAATTTCATGGCACAGTCACATACGAGAGTTTCCCGAAAGAAAGCTGAAAGCTGTGTCGTTATTTCGGCGGGGGGGGGGGGGGAGGGTCGGAATGTATTCCATCGGCCCTTTTATTTAACACTTTGGCTAGCGTAAAGCTGGGTGCAAAACTTTGGATTATAATTATTGTGAAAAACTTACCGAAGTTAACTGTGAGAATTTGTGGCGCAGACACATGACTGGTTTAAGCATTTACTGTATTAACTAATCGGTGTACAACTGAGAATGGATCACGGATCACAGTTTTCGAGTGCTCAGGTTATGTTGCTTTGACACAAGAGAGGCTTTGAGTCAAGTTCAAGCCGAAACTTACAAGTTTGCCGACAGTACTGGATTAAGTGGAAATATATTCGTAACATATCGGTATCTTACAAATCTACAATTTACTAACATCATATATATATATATATATATATCGTGCCTGAATATAGAAAACAAATACCCCGTAAGGGTAGGAAGCACTTAAATAATAGAAAGTGAAAACAATGTACTGATTCGGCGAGCTATAGTAGCGTAGCCTCCCTTTGGATTTAGGGATCTTATATTTAATATATAATACGCTTATCAGACTTAGGAATTATAACATACATAGTAGTGGTTTAGTGGCTAAGACATGCAACCGGAAATTCCGAATGTTCTCAGTGGCCGATATCTCTAAAGTGTGGTCTCTATGTGACTTTGTCTCAAAATATATGTTTATATTTATAAGCACAACGTCCTCAGTATTGTAGTTCACGCGATTACGTCTATGTATTTATATCATCTCGAAGGACCGGGCACATGTTCCACCTTACTTTTTGCAGAGCTAAGAGCTCTGCTGCGCAGTTGGGACTCCAACACTTCATTTATTTAGTTGCATTAACTCGCTGCGCCGCATTTTTACGCACTGAGTAATGGCTGTAAGGCATATGAGACTGCCTCTACGGCTGCCATTGGAAGCTCCAAGTGGTTGCGTTCGGCGAATTTGTTTTTCCCTGTTCATTTTTCCCTGAAACGCAGTTTGCCCATTAGGTCTGTTGTCAGTAAAGGCCTTGGTGTTTTCCCATAGAATTTCCCATAGAATGTTTCCCATAGAGTGTGTACGTTCAATATTATGGTTAAGACATTTGGCAAATCATAATTTCGTATCGATGTTCATAGACGAAGTGCTAAAAGAAATTATTAAACCAAACTTAAATTGGATTCTTCCATATTTTTTTAACGCGAGAAACCTACCAAAGAAGTGCAAAGGATTTTGTAGAAATATCTTTTATGATTTAGAAAACATATTATTGAAAAAAGGTTATTGATTAGTTTCGACATAATGTCCTGTTTTTCATATATATGACGGTTTCTGCAAATGGATTTCGCCTTATTTTTACTATTTACGACTACTACGACTAAGCAAGTACAGATAGAAAAGGATCCTTTTGTTTAGGTCGTTCTATTTTTCCCTAACAGTAAACACGTTGTTTCACAATATTTGTCTTTCACGATGGCATGTCACATTTGTTTTGAGCCAACAAAAACGCACGAGCAGTTATCAAAATGAGTAATAACCTAGATGTTACGGACATATTTTTCGCTTCAGCTAAGATGTAACGTGTTGTCTTCCGGTGGACTCAGTCAAATGATATTATTTATAGCAGTAAATCTTTCTTGGATAACTCACTCCTAGATTTTATTGTGCAGAGGCTTTGAGTCGACCGTTCCAGGAAGATTACCCAAGCTACGCGTAGAGAATGAACGTCAAGACATTGTTGCCCTGCCTATATAGTGGTAACTTTTTTTTGCAATGTCACCATAGTCCAATCTGACACAGAACCTGGAAGAAACCGCATCGTTCAGAGTAAAGCAATTCGAGCCGTGCTTGGCCTTCGTTGGTCACGCTTAGTATCGAAGGCTGGCTCCCAACATGAAATTTTCAGTATTTGAATAGCATGCAGTAACCAGCGTCTCAGACGGCTGTCTAGGAAGTTAAGCCCTGTATTTAATTGGACCCTGTATTCAATTTCGTATATTGTAAAAGTTTTAGACCAAATAGAACGTAATATTTTATTGTCGCTAAAAAAATAAAAATATTTGCCCAACATGGCCTAAACGAAGCAGTTACAATAAGTTGGAAGGAAAACATTGGTCATCAATTATCCAAACACTTCCGCAGAAGTTAAAGCTAAAGCTGAGCACTGAAGCTTGAAACTGATCCTAACTTGCATGTTATTCATGTTATGCATGTTAATGCATGTTATCCAAGTTAGAGAGGTATCAAGAGAACCGTACTTTCTGGACCTTTGAACTTTTTAACAAACAAAGCTTATGTATCAATCTTACAGTTTTTGACTTTTCTTTTGGATAAACGGGTGATGTCGTTTGGTCATCTAACATATACTAGCCCTAATTTTTTATACAAATTACAATAAGGAATATTTTTAATGCCGAAAAATGATCGTATGTTTAAGAAATTATCGTGCTATAAACTCGAAAAAAAAGTGATACTAAAGGTGCCCCGTTTGCGCGACTGCCTCAGTCTCATAGATGTGAAGATCTTTTCATTTCCGCTATTATTAGTTGTTGA